AAATACATGCTGTATGAATTTTTGTATTATTGTATATATTAAAAATGCAAATGATAATAAATTGATAATCTATACTTACGTATGTATTATCAATGTTTTCTAATAATCTCTCTCAGAGATAAACCTGAGAGCCACGCCGGCGTTTCACTCGATGCTGAACGCGGTCGTTACGAGATCTAACTGGTGACATTTTTCGGATGTCGGATTGCAATACAATCGAAAGATATCTTCTGGACAACTTTCATAGGGATATTTTAGATAACAATAAATTGATAACTTTTTGATGTCTTAAAATAGATATCTATCAGATCAACTAATATGATAACTTTCAGATAACAGTCTTTTTCTTTGTTAAGATATCATAAAAAAGACACCTTTAAGACAACAGTAAATAGATATCAATTTTAAGACATACATTGGTTATCTTATAGTAAAATCCTAAAGGCAACCTTAAAACGATAACTTATAGGCACCAAATGGGCATTAGTGCTACCTGGGAACTTTCGCCGCGCCCGATGAGTACAAGCCATAAAGACCACTGGCGGTGCGGGAGGGGCTTCGACTGCTTCGTCGCGCATCATCTTACGTTCTTGCATCATGGCTGGAAGTGATCTCGTAGAATTTTGGGGAAAGTGAGGTTAACGTTGTGTGCCTACGTTACTTGTCACATTAAATAAGCATCTATCGATTCCGCAAAACATTTGTCCCTTCGCCGTCAGTCATGACGCTCACAAATAAGGCAAGAAAAATGCTCTGTCTTATTATTATCGCGCGGCAATTTGGAAATTTATCTTATTTACCCGCATCTACAAATGCTCCGAAACTTTTCAGATGGATATCGACGAGAAGAACGCCAAGGGAGAGGGCTTCAAGCCGTATTACATTACGAAGATCGAGGAGTTGCAGTTGATTGTCGCTGAAAAGAGTCAAAACTTAAGGAGACTGCAAGCGCAGCGTAATGAGCTCAACGCGAAAGGTATCTATTTCAACCTGGCGACGCAACAAATTCTGCTACGAGGGTCTCGTAAAAACCCGACGTATTGTCCGGTTGTACAAAGAAATTCTTTAAACTATCATCTTTTATAGTACGCATGTTGCGAGAAGAATTGCAACTCCTCCAGGAACAGGGTTCCTATGTCGGGGAGGTAGTCAAACCCATGGACAAAAAGAAGGTCCTAGTCAAAGTACATCCGGAGGGCAAATTCGTGGTGGACATCGACAAGAACATCGACATCAACGACGTGACACCGAACTCGCGCGTTGCTCTGCGTAACGAAAGTTACACCCTACATAAAATACTGCCGAACAAAGTCGATCCGCTTGTCTCGCTTATGATGGTGGAGAAAGTACCGGATTCTACGTACGAGATGGTTGGCGGTCTGGATAAACAGATAAAGGAGATAAAAGAGGTCATAGAGTTACCAGTCAAGCATCCGGAATTGTTCGATGCTCTCGGGATTGCGCAGCCTAAAGGTGTACTGCTGTATGGACCGCCAGGTATAAACTAATTACTTGTTGTATTACCAAAAGCGTAAATATACGCGAGGGCTTTGTATTCTATTGTAATTGTTTATTGTAAGTTTATCGGCCACAGTCCTCGATCGTGACAATGCATCGTTCTTTCAGGTACCGGCAAGACTCTGCTCGCAAGAGCAGTCGCGCATCATACCGAGTGCACGTTTATTCGCGTGTCCGGATCCGAATTGGTGCAGAAATTTATCGGAGAGGGTTCGCGCATGGTCCGCGAACTGTTCGTCATGGCAAGAGAGCACGCACCGTCTATAATATTCATGGATGAAATCGACTCCATTGGAAGTTCCCGGATTGAATCTGGATCTGGTGGCGATAGCGAAGTATGTGGGAAATATGCAGGGTCGGGAAAGTTACCTTATATAAAAGTATCGAGTTACAGTTACTCAAGAAGTAACGAATCGTTACTTTGCAGTTACTTTCTTGCGATGGAAATAAAAATATCAAATAATGAGAATATTCTTAAAAGTTGCCAGCAGTAATTAACAACATCAGAGAATTTTACTGACCGTATCTGGCAATTTTAATAATACAGAAAATTTATCGCGTAAAATATTACCTCAGCCAGAGTTTAAACCTGGACTTCCCTACACTCCAGACGGGCGTCTCAACCAATTCGACTACCGAGGCATATAATAAAAAGAAATAAAAATTGCCAGATACGGTCAATAAAAATCTCTGGTGTTGTTAAAACTATCAAATTTGTATTTGAATTGCAAAGCGCCGATAAAGGCGTTTATGCTCTAATGCAAAGCCTAATGCGATCTGTGGAGGTTTAAAATATATATAAAGTAACTATTAATGTAACTGAGTTACGTTACAGTTACAGATGGAGAGAACGTAACGAAGTTAAGAGAGTTACCAAAAAGAAAGTAACTGTAACTTCGTTACAAGTAATGAGGTACTTCTCAACCCTGGAAATATGTGTGAATATAAATGTACTTCTATGATATTATGCCATAAACTATATTCTCAGGTGCAACGTACCATGTTGGAATTGCTGAATCAACTGGACGGTTTTGAAGCAACAAAGAACATAAAGGTCATTATGGCTACTAACAGAATTGATATCCTCGATCCGGCATTGTTGCGGCCCGGTCGTATCGATCGCAAAATCGAATTCCCACCTCCAAATGAAGAGGCTAGATTGGACATCTTGAAGATCCATTCTAGGAAAATGAATTTGACACGCGGAATAAATCTGAGAAAGATAGCTGAACTTATGCCTGGCGCGTCAGGCGCGGAAGTCAAGGTAATGAAACATGGATTTATCTCGTATCACAGCTTTATAATTGCGGGCGTGGAATAAGTATCAAATGTAAATCTGATTCTCTGCTCTTAATGAATTGCTTTATGCCAAAGATTCTCTTAGAAAAGCAATACGTTAGAATTTATTGTAATTCCACTGTCTTAAAGTTTAGTAGTGAACTTTTGAGAGCTTCTCATATTTTATTTTTATTAAAATATAAAAGTAAAGTCAGAGACGTCTGCCGACTTTTCTGACATAATTTCTTAAACATTTGCGTACACGTTCTAAAATGTAAGTATGCATTGTTATATTGCAGGGTGTTTGTACGGAGGCTGGAATGTATGCTCTTAGAGAACGTCGAGTTCACGTGACCCAAGAAGATTTTGAGATGGCTGTAGCCAAGGTTATGCAGAAAGATTCTGAGAAAAACATGTCGATCAAGAAGTTATGGAAATAATCAGCTCTGCAATTTTTTCAATGTACCATTAACACATCTTTAGTCCTATTACTCTCTCATAAGCGAATTATTTTAATTAAGTAGCAATATTATTTAAAATGTAACGTGTGTAAACGCGGAAGCTTCGTTCTACGAAATTGGAGACAACAATAAAACTTTATTACAATATCAAAACAATGAAGTTTTTATTATATGGAATTATTCATTATCAATTATTAGAAAATGCCATACCATTATTAAATATTTAATTTAAAACATTTCTTACTTATCTATATATGTATATATATATCTTATGTAATATAATAGCCATTTGTTGAAACGATTTTTTATAATCGTGTCTATTGTTTTACCAGCGAGTTGCTCTATTTAAGTATTTCCTCGTAAAATATAGATGTCCGATAGTATATACTTATCTGATAATTATAATTATTCTGCGAGATTAATGAAAAAAATAGAATAAACCATTAACCATATGTTTCAATCTGAGGATACAATAACGTTTCCTGTAAAATGCAAAATGATTTTTGTATCTGAACATACAAAACATCTATGAAAAAATTCAAGAGAAATTATAACGTTGCTGTTATTGACTGCTCTACGAAATGTTCAATTACGTTTCCCCAATTACTTTTCGTGATATTGACTTGCAATTAACCCGTTGACTGTGTATGACGGCTATAGCCGCAACGTAGAAAAAACAAAGTAAAACTTTCTGAATTTGCTTGAAACTTGTTACTCGGGGGTTTCTGGGGTCGCTGATTACGAATCCGAAGTCAAATGTACAAAATTCAAAAAAATCAAAATTACAAAAAATAATCTGATTTCCATGAAATTTGGTACCCTTATGTTTTTTGGGTCTCTGAATCCGAATATGACATCAAAATTAAAAAATGGCGGATGCAATATGGCGCTTCAAAATTATAAAAAATGTATTGATATCCATTAATTGTAATTTTGATCCGTCATATTGGACCCGCCAGTTTGAATTTTGTAAATCTGACATCATATTCGGATTCAGAGACCCAAAAAAACATAAGGGTACCAAGTTTTATAATAAACCGATGAACTTTTTTTTCAACACACTTTTGGCCCAAATAGTAAATTCTCTTACACAGCCAATGGGTTAACTTTAGCAGACTGCTTCGTAAAGATTCGCCCCGAATGTCTTAAGATCACTATTTAGCATCAGACGTTGAAGCCAGTCCGCTGTTATATCGTTTGGCGTTGGATTATCTGGAACCTGCCCGTTCACAATAGGAATAATTTTGGCCAGGGCCATGGTGGTCTTGTTAACGTCTACAAATCCACTCGAATCATTTGCGAGGGCTTCCCTCGTTAATGCTGAATTTTCTGCGCTTGATTCTCCTGAAAGCGACGCTTTGTTGCGCACATCATCGGTTCTAGGAGATTCGCTGAAGTACGCCGATATATGATCCATTAGTAAAACGAATCCACTTCTGATGTTTTTCTGCATCAAATCCTGTACTTCTTCGCTCTCCGATACATCCAGCATCTGATCCCTTAGCTTCGAATAGACAGACGTATCGCTGTTTTCAAGATCGTGTTGCAACGTGTAATAAGTGAAATTTTTCACGGGATCTCTCGAGCCGTCGGCAGACACAGAAGATATGATCGCCCAATAAATTTGTTCTAAATCTCTCAACGTTAACCGCTCCGTCAGGGACAACGAAGCCGTGACCTCGGCGACCTTACTTCTTATGAAACTGCTCAAATTCTTAATGCCCTCGTATATAAAATAACTAGAAAGAGCCATGTATCTCGCTTGTACCTCGTTTCCGATAGTTCCGTTATCCACATTTCGCACGCCTTTGTACATATACCCGCTAATCAAATTGAGCTGAATCCTAAGAAATGTAACTAGCATCGTATAAGAATAAATGATTACGGCCGATCGCGTGATCGCCAACACCTTCAACTCGCTCCAGGATGTTAGCTTGTCGGCGGAGCCATCTCTAAGTTGATTTATGATGACCTCCGTGTCATTTTCCTTGACCACAGAGTCTCTCAGAGTCACCGCGAGAGACGATATCATCTGGTTGCACGTTCTCTCCGTGCTCTCGTAGTACTGTCGCTTCCTCGTTCTCTCCATCAGCATCCTGATCTCGTTTTCCTGCCACTCCCGCAGCTTGCGCTGCGTGTAGCGCGTCAAAAAGATGGCGCTACTAATAATGACGCTCCCGAATATAAACTTACGCCTGTGGCGACTCAAAAATCCCCGAATGCTTGAAAACATGTCTATTTGCTTATGCGAATTCGGTAGACGTACAAATATATTACAGAGTTCTTAAAATTTATCCATGACAAACTTTGACACATAATCCTAGGAACGGTACATGCTCATTCCATGTTGTCCGACTCGGACTGCATACTCGTGGCAACGCGTTCTATTCTGTTTGTGATGTAATTGGTCGTGTCAATGAATCTCTCCACGCAATTCACGAGACACTTGTGAACCTTAGTCTCCAGACGTAGCGACGGCCTGTCCATACAAGTCTCCCAGCAGAGGCTCGTCAATTCATGTACCAACCCCTGAAAGTACCATCCGATTATATAATTCATTCGTCATCCCTTAAGCGTCGTCCACGATACGTGGAGTAGGCTTGGAGTGAGGGATAGGAGAGAACCGTAACTTTTTAGCTCTTGGTGTAAAGAAGCTAAAACGCTGGCCGATGGCGTTCTGACTCGCCAAGAGTGAGCGCAAGGGCTCAAGGAGCAAGAAATGAAATTGATTTGTTTCCTTACTCCAGGCTTGCTCCACGCATTGTAGACAATGCACTACAAACGTGACACATTGGGGGGACCAGGTCTTCCCAAAGTTAATCCGGAACGTAAGAAAATTAAAATTAGACACAATATGAATTCTAATCAACACATACTGCGGGAAATTAACAAAATGCACAGTTTGAAGTATTGTTCGTTGTAAACAGGATTTGATTTTGTTGAAAATGTGAGGTTAAGTTGGAATGCAACATTGCTCCATCGTCGATATCGCGTCAGTACTGATAATTATAGCGGGTTTTTTTTAATAGTAATTGCAAAACGAGCAAGCGAATCGTTTTGAAATTTTGCAGAAACATTTTTACACGTTTGAAGAACACGAGATACGAAGAGCTCAATTTTTCGCATTGGTTTTTGATAGTTTTCGCGCGACTGATTATTTATCTTGCAAAAGTTACAGTAAGACTATGTTGAAATAGCAATACTTAATAATTTTTAGACAAGTAGACAAGTAGAAAAATTGGTAAAATAATTCGGCACGTTATTAAAAATGTCAAGTTAAAATTTCACGAAAGGTAGCATACAATCTTGCACCTATCCAGTACATTGTTGAAGAAAGGTGTAATAAAATAGATAACTAAATTAAATGTTCCTCAATTATATCGTTTTGGAATTAAGAATGAACTGTTCGATAAAGATGATTGTGAAAATATTATTCATAAACATTTGTCTCGTACTCTCGTGCGAGCATTACGGAGTACGAAATATAAATAGAAAATGTCTACAAATTAATTTACGGCGACCGAGCAAGTAACTAACCTGAAACTGTTGCCTTTTCGTCTCGGTCTCGATAAAATGCTGCAACTGATCGTCCACGAGAACCTGCGTATTCGAGTTTTCCATAAGACTCATACTTCGATTCCTCGCGTTCGAATATCTGTCTGCATTAATGCAAATTCTTGCGCTTTCGGAAAGTACCCTTTAACCTTGTGCGACGTAACGACACTCGAAACCGGTTTATATATTTGCAAGAGAAGTCCTCAATTGCTATATCGACGACGTTTATTTTTGTTCGGTCATGCATAGAAAATCTCTACAAAACTTCCCGAAAATCATCCAGAAACAAAATATTCCCTAGAAGCCTCAAGCCTCGTCTACATGGAAGTCGTAAAGTCGTAGTCGTAAAAATAGTCGACTGCGATTGGTTAAAGCCTCGTCTACATAGAAGTCGTAAAGTCGTAGTCGTAACAATAGTCGACTATGATTGGTCAATTCTTATGTGTCTGACGAAATTGACCAATCGCAGTCGATTATTCTTACGACTACGAC